CGTAGTCAATAATGGTTGAGGGAGACTCTGCTAGTTCTCTTGACAAGTGACAGGAAGTTTTTGTCTGTGATTGTTCTGCAATGGGAGTTTCTTTGGAATCTCAAAGGCCATCTGGCCTCACCTACATAATTTCCTTTCTGGAATCTTTTCTGCATTGCATGAGGCAGTCAGTATCCTTGTGACTAAGGCTTCCTTGTCGTTTGAAAGTCTGCCTTTCGGATCCAATTATTCCGGCTAGAAGTGCCGGCCGGTTTTGCACCTCGGCTTGAGACGAGGCTGCGATACCTGCTGGAGGGGATGAGCGTTTCTTGATCGGTGGGAAGCCTGTTTCTGATAAATCTGTCTGGAAAGGTAGGAGGCTTTCTGCAACGCCAGAAATGGGACAGAAAGTCAAGGAACATTGAGGGTCTGGCAACTGCTGAGTAACATCCCTGTATGCTCAAATGCTCCCACATCACAAGTCCAGACGGCTGGCCTTTAGCAAAGGAATCTCAAATCACATTGTTGGAAACTGTTTGCGTGTCGAGGTCCCCAGGGCCACCCCAATAACTCACACATCACACAGAATTTTTTGTTTAAGATTTTTGGCATAATTTTGGCCACAACTTTATTAAAATACAAATTTGTGAGTGGTTGCTTAGCCATTGGTTGCGACTGTCTGCCCCCACCATGGGGGACAGACTGACATTCCGCACGATGCAAAAGTCAGAATAGGGGAATACACTTGGGGGTAGCGATGGAGCAGGGAACCTGCCCTCACCCCAAATGCAACCAGGAGCTGATTGCTATGGCCCGAGCCCCCTTGACAGAGTGGACAAGCAATAGATAGCCCCCAATTCCTTTAACGGAATCCCTTGCAGCGGCAGCATTAGAGGGGCAGGCACAGCCAATTCATGCCCCTCAACCAACCAAACCATAAACCAATGCCTAACCGCAACCTTACAAGTTGTGACGATTTATTACGCAGTAGGCAAAAACCAAATGGCCCCAGCCAATCAGCCAGATGGACAAAATTCCTACCGTGCCCCTGCCCCAAGAGCAGACGATCCCATGACAGTCATAGCAAGGTCAAAGTGAACAACCCTAATTCTAGGGAGGGTAGGATGGGCAATCCAATGCACAGGCGAAAAGAGGAAGCCCTAGCCTCGTGCAAGGAGTTTTAGCATTTCTGGCTGTCAATCAACAAATGGCAACATTAACTTCTTCCCAACAAGGGAAGCCCCAATTGCATCAGTGGCCAACGATCAATTAGCCCGCCCCCAACTTTGGAGTGTCCTGGCGGCCCCCACCGCAACACATGCTCTTCATGAAGGAGAACACGCTATGTCAAGGAGAGAAAACTTGCAGTAGTGCAACACTGGTTAAGCCTTTTTCCGCCGAGGGAGTTTGTGGTAGCTGAGGCTCATAGGCGCCGACTCCATGGGGCCTGAGGGGGCTCGAGCCCCCTCAAAAAATTTTTTTGGGGGGCTCAGCCCCCCCAATAATCTCGGGCGCCCTTCCAGCAGAGCGCCGCCGCCGTCCCCCGCCTCCTCCCCACCTGCTCCCTCGCCAGCCAGCCAGCCAGCCGCGCGCCCTAGTCGGAGAGCCCCGGCCGTCCCCCGCGAGATTAAGGAATCCCCGGGGGCGGGGGCTCCTGCCTCGCTGCTTCGCAGCACTACCGCCACTGCCAAGGCACTGCCGGGGGGAATTTCCTTCCTCCTGGCCCCCGCGAGAACAGGGGAATCCCGACTGGCCACACCTCCCAGCCAGCCGATTGGCTGGCTGGGGGGCGTGGCTTGCCCTATTTAGGGCCGGAGCCACTTTATTTGCATATTCATGAGCTTATTTATTATTCATGAGCTTTCCCGGGCCCCCCCCCAATATTTTTTATAAGTCCGCGTCCCTGCTGAGGCTGGTTGAGGCCTTGCTTTTAGAGGGAGGTTAGTCAAAGCGAATTGAAACTGCTTGAGGCCTGTTTTTGTGGGGAATTGTGGCAACCAGGATTGGCTGATGCTGTGTATGTGTGTGTTGTTGTTGAATTTGATATAACAAACCCACTCGAACCCTTACAGACCCTCCAAGTGTCCCTATAGTCCAAGGACAGTTTTGGATTTACAGAAACCGTCCTGGTTTTGGATTTGATCCCACAATGTCTTGCTTTTCCTTAGAATGTCCCTATTTTCATTGGATAAACATTGGAGGGGATGACCTTAATGGATTCACAAGAGCACATGGAGACTTCAGCTGCAAAGGAAGAGTTGTGGGCACCTGCAAATGCAATAAACATCTTCCATTCTTCTTTAAATTCGTTGTCGTCTCTTCCTCTTAGTTGCATTGACAATTTTGCCATTTCAGCATATTCCATTAATTTAACTTGCCAATCTTATTTAGCTGGGACACCTTCTTTTTTCCCATGTTGTGAAAATAAAATCCGTTCGGCCGTAGTTGCATACGTAAACAAATTCTTTCAGGAACAAAGGTCTTGACTGTGAAGTCTGTACCCTTCATTGCCAGCTTTCTAATTCCAGAGAGGTTTGTTGTTTTGTTTTTATTTTTGGCATAACTATCCATGGTGAGAACTCCCATCTCCAGACTAAAGTGGTACAGTCTCTTTTACCACCCCAGGGCTCTACCACTTCATTCCGCTGCGTTTTGTTGGCAAGGCCCTCATCCAGCCCATAAGTGGAAGTGTCCCCAAATAACAGCCCCTTGTTTTTGTGTCAAGCTAGAGTGATTCCCCCCTTTGAATGGAAGGGGGACAGCTAGCACCGGCGTTTTATCTTTTATCTCTCCGTAGCTGGTATGAGGCTGCTTTCTGAACATTCCTTCCTGCCGCGGTCATGCTGTTATACTTTATAGGCGCCTTGCTACATCCAGAGACAGCTAAGTTCCACTCAACACCATCACACCCAACATCTAGCTCCCTGGAGGTAGGGGAATGGTTGGGAAGAATACTAAAAAATAGAAGCTGTTTGTTATTGATTATGAAACAATGCAGCTTATCTGGAAGCAAGTTGCTGTTTGGCTCCCTTTGTATTATTCATTGCTGAGATGAAAGACTTTCTTTGTAGCAGAACTTTCAGCTCAAAATGAGGGTGCAAAAGATTCCCGGATTTTCTTTCTTGTTCATTTCATTTGCATCCCAGCATTTAGTCTGTCGAAGGCCACCATTTTTTCCATGAGTGAGGGCAGGAAGTTTAACCCTCATTCTGCCCGGCCCCAGGATGGCAACCCATGAAAGTGTAGTGTTATCCTGAAGCCAGTCAAGAGCGAAGGATTATTTTTATTTTTTTAAGAAAGGCGAGCAAGGACATTGCTCTCAGGTTGGCACCACCATGCAACAGCGTTCTGAAGACAGAATGAGGGCAGGAACTCCTGTCCTCACTCCGCTGGGGAAAAAAATGGCAGCTGTTATCTTTTAAGATTCCAGGAAGTGCTATAGGAAGTTCACCCCCCTGCCCATTGCTCCCCTTCACTCCCCCTTTAAATATTGCTCCTGCAAATAGATGGTGAAATATGGAGGGATAGCATTTTGGCTTAGCCCTGACTAGTTGGTAATGGAAGTCTTGGGCCAGAAGAAATCCTTAAGAAATGTCTCTGGGGGCTTTTGTTTGTTTGTTGCATCTCTTTTCTATTGACTATGCTATGAAGGCAAGGAAAAGCCAGATATTTCCAAACATAGGCCAAAGTGTGGATGTGCGCGAGGGATGACACCTAAAGCTGAACTCTCTTTCCCTCTTTCTTGCTTTTCCTTGGCTGGGCGAATGTAGTGCCAGGCGGACTGCATCTGACCATTACCTTTTATTGCGTTTCATTTCACTTTTAATTTGTATGGCGCCTTTCTATATTACTACACACAAGGCAGTTTACAAGCTGAAAAAACAACAAAATAAACAGCAAAAATCACACGCCTAATAACAATCTGATCCGATACAAAAAAAGGTCACAATAACTTTAAAATAAGCAACTCATATCAAATAAAGCAATGTTCAATAATCCATTAGGATATAATAATAAACAGTAAAATTAAATATAGCAAATAATACAGTGGTACCTCGGGTTACATATGCTTCAGGTTACATACGCTTCAGGTTACAGACTCCGCTAACCCAGAAATAGTGCTTCAGGTTAAGAACTTTGCTTCAGGATAAGAACAGAAATTGTGCTGCAGCAGCACGGCAGCAGCAGGAGGCCCCATTAGCTAAAATGGTGCTTCAGGTTAAGAACAGTTTCAGGTTAAGAACGGACCTCCAGAACGAATTAAGTACTTAACCCGAGGTACCACTGTAATTGAACAGTTTACTCTTAACAATTATAACAAAGAATTACTAAACTATAATCAGTAAAAATAACGGCAAGTCACAATGCATTAAATACCACGAAGCATGCAAAATCATGTAAAAGGGTCAAGTTGAGAAACAAGGATGCACAGCTTATAAATTTGTTTTTGTTTTTGTTTAATAAATACCCATGCACTCCCTTCTTCCCCACTGCTCCTGCTGTTCTCAAAGTCATGGTCTGGGAAAGGCTCCTAGGGCTGGAATGGGTGAGGAAAGGCAGGTGGAAAAAGCCTTTGCCTGATGGACAGCACAAGCCTTTCTCCCCTCACTTGTATACAGGCCTCACCTGTGCTTCCCATAGAAATCCAGCTCCTCTCCTTATCTGCAGAGCAGCAGCATGAGGAGTCTGTGTGCAAGAATCTTATGCAAGAGGACGCCACCTCTATGGGGGCAATGGACTGGGAACTGTAGTTTGGGGAGGATGTTTAGTTTAGAAATCGCGGCTGCTGCCTTCCTAAAAGGGACTGCCCAAGGTATAGCTTCACAGGGTAGACGTTGTGGTATTGTTTTCATATGGTCCTCCATGTTGACAAAATGCAACCTTGCATGTAGAAAACTAGTACACCTGGGTGAAAGAGTCTAGCCCAGTGCCAGGGAAAGATCTCAATTTCTCCCAAGCTCGCTGCACCTTTTGTGAAGGAAACGTGCTGCAAATAAATGCTGACTGTCTTTGTGTTGCAGATAACTACTTCAAAAAAGAGGGCACCATGGACGCACTACTTTGTGGCAACAGCACGGATGCTGGGTAAGTAATATTTGATGGTAGTTAAGCAAAACCTAGTATTATTACACCTTTTTAATGAGGTATCACTTCACAGTTTCTGCGTTGGCACCGGCATTCCTTCTGTCTAAATTATGCTTTTAAAACAGTAAAATACAGTCTCTATAGGAATGTTGTTAAGAACAGAGCTAATGAAACACCCATGCTAGGGCTTATTTATTTTATAATATATATATTTATTTTGCCCCTCTCCCCCTCAAATATAGTTATTAGTTCAGCTCTGTCCTACTTACAGGAGAATGGAGATTTCCCCTTCTAAGGGTCAGCAATAATAGACATGGCGGTGGTGGTGAATCTTTCAGGCATGATAATGCAATTTTCCAAACAGTGGGGGAGGAAGAGTGATGTGTCTTGCCTGTTCAAAGCCGCATTCTTTCGGAGTCTTATTACCAGTTCTTTCTTTAGCCATTCATTTCTTTTTTCCTCCTGGAAACTTGATAATGTGTTTGATGTTGTGGATTAGTGCCTTTTTTTAAAAAAATAATAATGAAAAAATATGAAAGAAAAAGAAAGTGGGGGAATAAAAGTGAAATGTGGGAGTGAGACATCAGAAATACAAGGGAGAGACTGATTGATGATTAATTCCAGTGTTCTCCCTCGGGAGATGAGGGAACAGGCTTGTGTTCTTTAACGTCCATTGGAAATCACTGAAATGGCAATTGATTCTGGAAGTCTAAAAACTGTGGCTGCTTCGGAGACTGACAGGTGCCCTCTTAGGAACATAGGAAGCTGCCATGTGCTGAGCCAGGCTGCAGGTACTAGCCCAGAGTTGCCTACTCTGGCAGGCAGAGGCTATCCAGGGTTTCAGGCAGCAAGCTCTGCCCCTGAGGGCTCCTCTGCATGTTCAGTGAAGGAACTTTTGCCCTCACCGGTTCTGGAAGGCTCCTATAGAAGAGTCCCGTACGAAACAGAGACTTTGTGCCTGCCCATTAGGGGAAATAGGAAGCCCCAAACATATATATTTTTAGATGTCTTTTTTATGTTGAGATCCATTGATCCTTTGCTGAAGAGGCTCGCCGATCTTTCAGACAAGTCCAAACTTAATTCTCTCATCTTAGGCAAAGATCACAAGATGACCTGACTGGTAGCCAGATTCTGCACCCAGATTTGTAGGCACAGATCATCCTCTAGAAGAAAATAGCTCACTAGGGAAATGCTGGAGTCGCCCTTTGGGGTGCCTCAGGGTCAATTTTTTATGGTAGCCCAAATCTCAGTTGTACGGGTGTATGTATATATCTCAATTTTAACTCATGAGCTTATTGCTGCAATCTGCTCCAATTGTATATTTTATCTTTATGAACGTTGTTTTTATTGTGTTATGTTACATGAGCTGGTCTTTGACCGTAATAAATTATCTGTCTATCAATCAGTGAAGGAACTTAGCGCAAGGAAGCATTGCAGGAGCAGACTCTGTCCTCACACTACGCATGTTCCATTCAAACATCTTTAATATGTCTTAGTATATGTGATGCAATTTCATTGGGGTTGTATTTCACAAAGAATGGATGGTACTGGAGAAAGGAGGTGGCAGTTGGCAATTGGCAGTTGGGAGTTGACAGTTGGAAGTTGGCAGTTTTTCCCGTTAGCTCTATCCTGACTATGAAGATGAGAGCAGTTTGTAGATAATACTTGTTCAAGAGTTGGCAGCCTGAAAAGTAAAGATTTATTTTCAACCATTTGCGTGTTCAGACCCAGAGACCTCCCCCCTAAACAAAGACACATTTGACTCAAATTTTAGTTTTCGTTTTTGGCGGAATTTAGGCCACAACTTTATTGATTACAGAAAAGTGAATGGTTGCATAGGCTCTGGTTTGACTAGCTCCCTACACCCTTGCAGGTAGCGCTGACCCAGAGCTCTATCATAGGTCAGCCAAGGGTGAACACCTGAGGCAGGTGAAAAGCCTGGGAACAGAGTCTGTTCACTCCCCAGATGCTCCCCTGGACTCAGGCACGGGCACAACCCCCTTTCGGGGGTTGACCAAAACAAGTTGAGTCCCTGGATTCCTTTAATGGGATACCCTTCACATAGGGATGGCGAGACTGTTCTCCCATCCCTATCACCTGAACCAGAGCCTATCTGCAACCTTACAAGTTGTGACGATTTGCTACGTGGCAGGAGAAACCCAAATGGCAACAGCCAATCAGCCAAGTGGGGTAAATTCCTGCCGTGCCCCTGTCCCAATGACAGACAACACACAACGGCATAGCAAGGTCAATCACAAAATGCCCTAAAATTAGGGAGAGGTGGGCGGGTGTTCCAAATGCATGCGCTGAAAGAGGAAGCTCTGGGACACGTGCATGGGTTTATATAGGTCCCTCGATCCGTTTAGATGTTCAAAAACTGAGGTAGCACTATATATTTACAGTGGTACCTTGGTTCTCAAACTTAATCCGTTCCAGAATTCCATTCTAAAACCAAAGCGTTCCAAAACCAAGGCACGCTTTCCCATAGAAAGTAATGCGAAATGGATTAATCTGTTCCAGACTTTTAAAAACAACCCCTAAAACAGCAACTTAACATGAGTTTTGCTATCTAACGATACCATTGACTCATAAAATGAAAGCAATAAACAATGTGCTACAGTCACACAATCAATCAATCAGTAGCTGAACTGGGTTCCACGCAGTCACAAAAACAAAACAAAAAGAGCCACAAAAACAAAAGCGCAAAATAAATAGCAAAAACAGACAGACCTCAGCGTAACGCTCAAAACGGAAGTGCGGCACTCAAATCGGAAGCATAACACTCAAAACGGAGCACGTTCGGCTTCTGGAAAATGTTTGCAAACCAGAACACTTCTGGGTTTGCAGTGTTTGGGTTCCAAGTTGTTTGAGTACCAAGGCATTTGAGATCCAAGCTACCACTGTAACCACAATTAACTAGCATTATACGCTTGGCACCTCCCTTCCTACAGTCAGGGACTACCCTGCACAGATATTCATTGTAATGAAACGTGGTACCTACACCTATGAAAGAGTACGTTTAAAAAAGTAAACAATACGCGGATTTCATTCATGACAAGTCTGGCCCCTCAGGGTTGCCATCTTTTCTGTGGCAAGGCTCCTGGGCCTTTCACAGCTACAGGGCACACAAAAATGCAACAGGTGAAACTCCCACTGGCATGCCTGCATAGCTCAGTTGGTTAGAGTGTTGTGCTAATAATGCCATGGTTGCAGGTTCTGTCCCCGTATGAGACAGCTGCATGAATTCATGCATTGTAGGGGATTCGACTACATGACTCTACAGTTCTATGATTCTAGGTTTTTGGCTTCTTGCCCGTTTTGCCACGGTTGAAAGTGCAGGAGTGCGTGCGGGGAATGGCAACCTGGAAACCTGTTTCTATGGGCACTAGAGAGGCCTTTGCCTTCTGCCTCTTCTGAAATTGTCAAGAAAGCTTGGTTGGCAAATCCCAAGGAAAGAAATGAAGCCACTGGGGCAACTTGGGGATGTAACAAGAGAGCACCTTTGGCAACGGCATCCTAGCTATGGTTGCTATAGAAACCTTAATTGCCATTATCCTCTCTTGGACCCTCATTTTCATTTATAGATTGAGACCAAAGTAAATTTTATGCTCTATAGGATGGGAACATCTTTCTTCCCCGGTTTCAGATGTATTGTTTCACCTCAAGTCTATAAATACGAGTAATTTAGAAGGAGAATGAGGCCTTAGAAAATTCTCCAGTGAACCTCAACGTTATTTTTAAAACCTCTTTAGGGAACTATTTCTGTTGTTGTTGCTGCTGCTGCTGCAGCGTTTCATTAGAAAATCCCTATTAGCACATAAAAAAAAATTTCAGGCACCTGTTAGACACTTTGCAGAGGTAGAATTAAAGAAATGCTTTTTGCAGTTAGCACTAAAGCCCTCTTGGAATATGGTGTGTAACGCAAAAGAGAGAACCTATTTGTTAAGAGTAGCTAGCCATTGTTTCATCAGATTCTGGCGCCTGGAGGCAGGTGGAAGGGTGACTTAGCGGGTGGAGCTGGGCGGATTCAGGCAGGTCATGTGAGTAGGGATGCTTGAGAATTCGTTATTTGCAAATTCCAGCGTCCTGCTGGGTCCATCACTGTAGTGGTTATGAGTTACTCGTGCGTAAACTGCCGCCTCTCTAGGCTTAATTGCCTTGGTTAAACCGTTCTGACTGCACAGCCCATCTCAGCGTGGCTGTCTCAGTCGCTGGCAGAATCTGTCTGTGGGCGTTTCTTAAACCTCTTCCAGCATAGAAGCTGTTTGACACCCAGTCGTCTCCGCCTCTCACTGCGCAGGAGTCTTCTGCGCAGGGAGGGTGTGGGTAGTGGAGGACCTGTGCTCTCCTCACTGATGTCCAGTGAAGAATCTCGGAGCTCTCCCTCCGCTTCCTCCAGTTGCCCCTCCTTATCCCTGGTGTTGCACTGATTTCCTTCCTCCTATGCCAGGCTCCTCCTTCCCTTGGTGCTGGGTCCTTCGCCTGCAGAATCAGGGAGCCTCCCCTCCGCCTGTCGCTCTGATGTCAGTTCTCTGACAATCACATTCTGTTCCTGTTTGTGATCCTAGCCAGGTGTCACCAAAGAGCTCACAAACAGGGAAACTGCCGTCCCCTCCTGTTTGTCCCTTGTGGTACTTGGGGATACAGTGCGTCTCAACATGGAAGTTCCACTTCGCTATTACGGTTAATGGCTATTGAGGAACACCCTCCAGGAATTTGTCTAATCCTTTTAAAAAGCCATCTCAGCTAATTATGTTTGCCTCATACAGTAGAGGTTGATATCAGGGATATACAATCTCTGTTGCTGATTTGACAAAAAAAAGCCTTTAAAAATAAATAAATGGCCATCCTGCATTGTTGAGTACAGCCTGATTGATGGGTGGGCAGATTGATGCTGTTAACTGTCCTTAATCAATAGCACTGTACTTTTTTATTGTGATTAATCATATGGTGTCCTGTGGATGTTCTTCTGGAAAGATCCTAATGGAAAAAGTTCGCATTGCCACTCCTTGTATATCAGAAGATTTTGATAACGTGACAGGCTCGTTCCTTCCCCCATGGCGTATAAATTTTCCAGAGTATATTTGCTAGAAAATCCAAAAGCAGAGACTTGGCTAAATCCTTTTGGGTTCTGTAAAAAAGAGCAACAGTTTTCCAGCTGCATTCCAGGGAACCTAGGGATTTTGCAGAATCTTTTTGAGGGTTCCTCCGTGGGAACATGATTCCTGAAAGGCAGATTTCCCAGCCTCACACTTTTCGAAGCAGCAGGGGAAGCAGAACACAATTATCCTTTGAAATTCGTATTCTCCAGATTTTGCAGCGCAGTTCTCCAGTCAAATATTGTGTACAAAAATTTATATATTAGGGCAAAGTGTGTATAAAAATGCATACGTTTGAGAAAATAACATACAAGATCCATTATATTAGTGGGATACGGCTTGCAAAAAAATGTTGGGCGTCGGCATAAATTCTCACTAAAATGCCGATCAATTTTCATGACAAAAGACGTAGTCACAAATTGCTACAGAAATGTGGAGAACTGAGTTTAATATTGGGGAAATGAAAGAAATCAAAATGGGTGGATTCATCCGTCCCTATATGTGACCTGAGTGATATTTAATGTTCTAGGGGCCTTGGATAGAAAACAGATCACTAGTTGAGAGGGAGTAGAAAATGATGTGGTATCATGATAAGATGAAGCCATTGTTACATACATTTCAATTCAATTCAGAACTCTAGCAGGGGAGGGAGGAGCGATATCTTTTCTAGGACTGTCCAGACCATGGAACCTGGGGGTGGCAGGTTGCTTCAGGTGGCAGCATTTAGGGGACAAGGGAAGTCAGGAATTGTGGTTGCTGCAGTGAGACAGAGAGGTGTTGCCTCTCGCATGGAAGCATGAGTACCAGTTGCTGCAAAGTTTTGTGTGCCAGTGCTGTCCATTTTTTATTTATTAAAAAAACCCAAAACATTATCCAATGACTCCGTTGCCATCAAACTTCCAAACTGAGCTGAGAGAACTTTCCCCACCAGTAGCCTTTATTGCTTATTGCTTCTCTTCCTGCAGTTCATGTCCGGACGATTACATCTGTCTAAAGGCTGGTGACAATCCTGACTTTGGGTACACAAGCTTTGATACCTTTGGCTGGGCCTTCCTCTCCTTGTTTCGCCTCATGACGCAGGATTGCTGGGAACGCCTCTATCAACAGGTAGAAGACTGATTTGTCTGGTTGCTTTTGTTTCTGGATAACGTTCTCCTTTAACACATCACAGACTCTATGGGCTTTCCATTTAGGAAAGGAGGAAACTTGTCTCTCAGGTACAAATTACTATTATTATTATGCTATTTATCACCCACCCTTCAAACTAAGGTGGGTTAAACAATTAACACACAATATAAAAAACAGTTTAAAGCAGCTTACAATCACAAAAATAAGGTGGGTCCTAAAAATATACACTCCAGGAGTCAAAAGCAGTGAGCCTTTAGCCTTTGCCAGAAGCTATATAATGAAGGTGCCACATTAACCTTCCACAGCTTAGGGGCCAACACAGAAAAGGCCCTCTCCTGGGTTGCAGTCTCCCCTTCAAGCTTATGAGGGTGGTAGTGTCAGGAAAAAGCACCAATGCAAAAGCCAGCTGCAGGTGGCTGGAAAGCAAAACAGGATGTTGTTGTCTGGAGCTGTACTGCTGGGGAAAAGGGGCAGTCCATTCTCTGTACTGAGCACCGGATGTTAGCTCAGAGTGTCATCTGACCTGTACTGGAAGTGCAGGGGCGGAGTTGTTACTCTTCTGATGGAGTCTGAAGGGAGCAGTCGCATTTCTATGTACTGCTGAATGACAGGAATAAAACATGTAAATAGGACTCCTGTCTGTCTCATTTCCCCTCCCTGGGGGGGGGGGGGAAGCAAGGAGAGAAAAGCAGAGGGTGTGCTCTCCTCACATCTAATGAGGAGAATCGCCGGTTTACGACCTAGCCTGCCGGGAGTAGCAGATGGAAGGTAAACACAGTATCTCACTCAATTGCCCGGGGGAGGCCAGTTTACCTCTGACTGTGAGCTGAGATACTGACAGGTAGAACAACCAAAAGAGCCCTCTCCACTGATCTTAACATCCTACAATCTGAAGGGAAGGAGACGGTTGTTCAGGTATTTGGGGCCTAAGTCGCTTATATCATGTCCTAGGACAGTTGAGACTGGGGAAGTACCTGGAGCAGGAAATTTTCTCCATTTCTGCCATACGAACAATGTCAAACTCAAATATGAATTTCCCGACGTAGTTTGAGGACTGCATTTGTTGTTCCTTCAGTATCATTTCCCACAAGATAAATCCCACGGTATATGTTCTTTCCAGCCCTTTATTTTGACTTGTTGACTCAGTCATAACAAACATGAAACCATATTGTGTCGCTTCATAATAAGACTGGAAGATCAGGTGCATTTAAACCTATCTTATTAACCAGCCTGTAAATTAAATCTGAATTGTTAGCTGCAATGTGAACCCTTGAATATTTGAAGAATCGTTTGTTGACATGTGACACATAAAGTCATCATCTTTTTCTGGTCCACTTTATAAATTGAGAAGGAAAAGGCACAGTGGTGAACTCAGCCGGCTTTGTGTGTTTGTCAAGTCATGAATTGGCTCCATTACAGGGACACAGAGTTGCAAGGGCTGCTGGTTTCCTGCAGTGTAACCCTACGTGGCTCGATGTGATTGTCACAACCACATAAGTGGAGACAGTCACGTGGAATTTTCCTATTTAATCGGCACCCACCTAGGATTAAGGGTGCCAGTTGGGTGAGGAAAACCCATTAAACAACCTCACCCATATAGCAGGATTGTTCATGGGGAAATGGCTCTTTTTGAATAATAGCACATGAAGCAGTCCATATGCCAGGCTTCACTGAACCTAAGGACCTCCATGCATACAACTATTTCCCTATTTTATGCACTGGGGAATATTTTGCACACACAAAAGTGAGGCCTCAAGCATACGTGATAAATGGACCAGCTGCGAGAGCAGAAACAACAGAATAGAATAGAATAGAATTTATTATTTATACCCCGCCCATCTGGCTGGGTTTCCCCAGCCACTCTGGGCAGCTTCCAACAAAGTATTAAAATACAGTACAGTGGTACCTCGGGTTACATACGCTTCAGGTTACAGACTCCGCTAACCCAGAAATAGTGCTTCAGGTTAAGAACTTTGCTTCAGGATAAGAACAGAAATCGGGCTCCTGCGGCGTGGTGGCAGCAGGAGTCCCCATTAACTAAAGTGGTGATTCAGGTTAAGAACAGTTTCAGGTTAAGAACGGACCTCCGGAACGAATTAAGTACTTAACCCAAGGTACCACTGTACAGTAGTCTGTTAAACATTAAAATCTTCCCTAAACAGGGCTGCCTTCAGATTTCTTCTAAAAATCTGGTAGTTGTTCTTCTCTTTGACATCTGGTGGGAGGGCGTTCCACAGGCCTTCTTTCACACCCATGGAGTTCCATGTACATACCAGAGCTCTGCAAAATGTAAAGTTGTGACAACAATAGATACACTGATTCATGAGAGCAGTTTAGTGCACACCACTGGCAAGTCTTGGGCACATCAGTGTTAAATTCCCTTGTGAGCATTGCCATGCCTAAGTGAGAGGCCCCACCTCTGTGAGAACATCAGCTTTGCACACAGAACATGCTTGGAAAGATCCATGGCTGAAATCCTGGCTAGCTTCTGCTAGCCATTGTAGACAATATTGACCTATATGGACTGATGGCCTAACTCGGTGCAAGTGAATTAGTGACCAACGTTCAGACCATGCTGCCTTCACCGATACCTGCCAGTGATTGATGCTTTGTAAGCAGAGGCTAAGTGGATTTGCTTGTAAATAAACGTTCGTGTTCCTGTGGAAATAATAATTTCACTTCCTCAGTTTTATCCGTGTCTTGCTGTTCTTTTGTTTCAATAAAATAAAATATTTTTAGGCTGCCTGTTTGAAAAAAAGTTTTCTGGTTGGCTTGCTAGAAACATTAAAACAAGAAAATATACAAACCTGTAAAAATAAATGCAATTCTGCCTGTGCAGCTGACATTCACTTCAGAAAGCTTTAAACAAGCTAAGTGGCTGGGGTGTTAGTAGTGACATGTGATTCTATAACCAGGAACCGATCCCTAAGACAGGGGTGATGGAACTCCAAGCTTGCGGGGTCTGCTTTGTATTTTCTTAGACCACTAAGGCCCACCAGAGAATCATGGGATTGTAGAGTTGGAAGGAACCATAAGAGTCTTCTTGCCAACCCCCTGCAATTGTCTGACGTGGGGCTCGAACCCACAGCCCTGAGATTAAGAGTCTCATGCTCTACTGACCGAGCTATCCCACCCAAGTGCAAAATATTGGCTTAGAAAGAGAGGCAGGCATAGAATTCAGCAATAGGACACACTGGAGTGCCTTCTAGCTCAGGACGCTACCAGAACTGAGCTACAGTGTTTTGCTCCTCCTGACTTGCCATATAATGAACTTCCTGAGCCAACCAGGCTAACACTGAGCCAACACTTCATGGGCTTTTGACCTATCACAAGAACAGAAATGAAAAACTGCTTGTCCCTCCCACCAACCAAGCTTTCTTCATTTCAGCAGCCATATCTGAGAATGCGGGAAGAGTTGCTTTTGATAAACACAAAGGTTAAAACTAGCAATTCATTTTAATAATGGACTCCCTCCCACTCTCTCTTGGTCTTATTCAGACGCTTAGATCTGCTGGCAAGATCTACATGCTGTTTTTCATGCTGGTCATCTTTCTGGGCTCCTTTTACCTGATCAACTTGATCTTGGCTGTGGTGGCCATGGCCTACGAAGAGCAGAACCAGGCCACCATTGCCGAAATGGAAGCGAAGGAGAGGAAGTTTCAAGAAGCCATGGAGGCTCTCAAGAAAGAGCAGGAGGTCTGTAATCATTCCAGGGGGTGGTCTTGGAGGAGCCCATGTGGTGTTGTCTTCCCTTCATCTTTCTTTTGACAGCTGAGTTACGTAATTGGCAAAATCACATAGTTCCAATCCCTGCCCAGTGTGGTGTAGTGCTTAAGAGCGGTGGACTTGTAATCTGGTGAACCGGGTTCGCTTCCCCGCTCCTCCACATGCAGCTCCTGGGTGACCTTGGGCCAGTCACACTTCTCTGACGTCTCTCAGCCCCACTCACCTCACAGAGTGTTTGTTGTGGGGGAGGAAGGGAAAGGAGAATGTTAGCTGCTTTGAGACTCCATCGGGTAGTGATAAAGCGGGATATCAAATCCAAACTCTTCTTCTTCTTCTGCCCCTTCATTCAGCCCCTCCTCCCAGTCTTCTCCTCTGACCTCTCCCACCACCAATGCCCAGGCTCTGAGCCTTCCTCCTCTGGGGTTTCCCTTTGGGGTACCCTGGCTGGCACCTCCCACCACTCCTTGCCATCCAGCCAGCCCCTGACAGCACTCTCCCACATGCAAACTTCGCCCTCAGCCATTACCACCAACCTTACTCACAATAACATAGTTAATTCCCAGCCGACCGCTTGTCACAAAGCAAAGTCTGATCTACAAAGAATCCCTGGCAGCATTAAACGTAATTTACAGCTATTAGCCCACCTCTACCTAAAGCAATACAAAGCTGTACACACAGCAACATAAAGCATGCTTCCCAGCCAGACTGGGCCTTTCTCTCTTTCTGACAGTTCAGTCTCTCACCCTGAGTGGTATTAAGCATCTTTATAACATGCACAAACCTCACAACCCAGACTCCCTCACCCTGGGCTTTCTTTCCTATCTGTGTGCAAAATATGTTGCCGGTGGAAGCGGCTCTCAGCATCCTACTACGATGCCATGTGTTAATTGGCAGTGTGTGTGAGTGTGTTTGTGTGGAACACAATCGGAAAGAGCCAGTTGGTTTATTATTATCATCATCTTTAAAGATATTCCCATGCTCAATAGAAGGAAATTAATGGCTCTTCATTCAATATTTGCTGCCCTCACCATTAGTTCAAGTTAATTAGCATTCTTTTTAGATTTGCTGTATTGATCTTGCAGCTTCAAACAGCCATTAGTATCCCATTATTCAACAAGTGGAATAATAGACGGGGGGTCAGCTGTTTAAACACTGCCAATGCTCTTCTTGTGCAAATAAAGAGGCTTGCCAACTGTAGGCCAGGAGCACTGCTGCTGAGTATAATACTACAATGGGCCTGATTAGCGTGAATGAAGCTGGCGTCAATTGTTGTGGGATGGTTTGTTCCTGCGGCTGCTGTGGGTGGCTGTTAATTACCGTATTTTTCGCTCTATAACACGCACCTGACCATAACACACACATCGTTTTTAGAGGAGGAAAACAAGGGGGAAAACATTCTGAATGAAACAGTGGATGTATCATTTTTGTGCTTCATGCTGTGGCCACAGACATGTGATCTGATGGTGAATTTGTGGTGACCCAATGCAAAAATCCTGAGAATTCCTGTGGATCCATGCTTTGTAACCACATTTTTGCACCATTGCAGCCCCAGGCAACAGTGGGTGCGTGGTTCTTTTGGTGCAGGCTGTAGCCATGGACATGCTATGTGATCTGATGGTGAATTTGGGGTGACCCAATGCAAAGATCCTGAGGATCCATGTGTATCCATGCTTTTTAACCACATTTTAAGTGGGGAGCGAAGGAAAAACAAAGAAGGGACATGAGAGGGGTGTGCAGAGAAGCAGCTGGCTAAGAATGCAGGAGAGGGATTTAACGGGAGGGAGGAAAGAAAGGCAAAAGTTTCCCCCCACCCAAGCCAGCCATCTCTCTCTCCTCCGTCCCCCCCTCTCTCTCCCTCCCCCTCTCTCTCCCTTCTTCATGTTTTCAGCAGCACCGGAGCACAGAGAGGAATTAGAAGGAACACACTCTGCTTTCCCCTCTGCTTGCCTGGAGGGGAGGGGATTTGCCTGCTCTTTGTTCCGTTTCAGCAAACACAGCAACGAAACAGAGGAGGGTGGGCAGTAAGACCCTGAGGCAGAATGCAGGAAAGCAGCCGCTTCCTCTTTTCAGGTTTCCCTTCTCCGTGAAGCGCGATTTGATTTTTGCCTGATTTTTCGGCTCCAGGGACCACACATTCGCTCAATAACATGCACAGACATTTCCCCTTCCTTTTTAGGAGAAAAAAATCTGCGTGTTATAGAGGGAAAAATACGGTAAATCTGATTTCTCTCGGGGGGCGGGGGACAGTATCCCTCAAACCTTGGAGGTGAGAACATATTCAGTGGATCAGATCATCTTTCTGAAGATGCAACTGTCCTGACGACTCAGTTTGTGGTATTATGAGGTACAGTCATACCTCGTGTTGGGTTTGCTTCAGGTTGAGTGTTTTCAGGTTGCATCCCGCGGTGACCCGGAAGTACCAGAAAGGGTTACTTCCAGGTTTCGACGCTCGTGCATGCGCAGACGCTCAAAATGATGTCACACGTATGCACAGAAATGGCGAATCATGACCCACAGACACGGGTTGCATTCTGCTCATGTTGCGAACAGGACTCCGGAACGGATCCCGTTCACAACCAGAGGTACCACTGTACAGTGGACGCTCGGGTTGCAAACGTGATTCGTGCGGGATGCACGTTCGCAACCTGCATCTGCGCGTCTGCGCACACGCGGGTTGCGATTCGGCACTTCTGTGCATGCCTGACCGCCGAAACCTGGAAGTAACCCGTTCTGGTACTTCCGGGTTTTGGTGGTCCGCAACCTGAAAAAACGCAACCTGAAGCAGCTGTAACCTGAGGTATGACTGTATAGCCCTTTTGAGACTATTACCACTTCATACTTCAAATGAGTGATTTGAATGTTGCACCACCTTAATTTTGATATCAGTTTGAGGGGTGGGGGGTCATTCTAGATGTAACCCTTCCAATTCTCAGGATCCTGTATCTGTGGGTAGAATATATAAGAGCAAGCTTGCCAAGCCAGGTTCTTTTGCCAAGGTAATGTGTTTGGGCTGGCTAATTAAGTACCACGATTCGGCATAACCAAAGAGCTGCGTTAAACCTGGGTTCAAATCCCTGCTTAGCTGTAAAGCTCATGGGCGAACTTTTGCATCCTCTCGGCCTGACCTCAACACACAGGATTGTTGTAAAGATGAAATTGCAGTGAACAGGATGTTGAGGGTGGTGGGTGATCATCACTCTGAGCTCCTTGGAGGAAGGATGTAATAGGAAAATAAAAATAGGTCCCCCTCAACAACAGACAAATGGGTACAGTCCAGAATGGTGCAATCTCTGTCTCCCACCTCATTTTACATAATGGGAACATTGGGGGAGGGATATGACACAGTTAAGGATGCAATGCTGACCTCTATCCCAAATGTGCATTTTATTGTCCTTTTCCTAGTTATTGGCTTCCTTTTTCATGATGATCGTGGGGTGGAGGAGTTGGTTTCGTTTCCAGGCTGTGTTGTAGCAGCATTATTATTATTATTATTTTCACTCTCTCTCTCTCTCCCTCCCCCACCTAATTTGGCTTCTGCTCCATTTCTAGCACCTCTTGGTGTTATCAGACTTTTCCTGCAGCGATTTCTCCAGATAGCTGGCGCAGAGGGCATGCTGTCCAGGCATGCAGAGGAGAAAAGTCTATCTTATCTGTGTATTATGTACGTGTGGGCTGGCGTGTGTGTGTGCACGCGCTTTAAGCCCATGGTTTGTGTTTATCGCTCTGGATCCCTGGTCACAGCAGGTTTCTGTCACTTTGCAGGATAAGATTTTCCTTGCAGAAAAGAAAAAGAAAAATCTGTATCAGCAGAAATAACGCGGGCTGTTGCCTCTGCTTTCTTGGGAGAAGCAGAGATTTCCCAGAAAGTCCAGCTCCATTGCCCTCGTGGTAGAGCGCTTTGCCTGTGCTCAAATGCCTCAACATTATCAATGTTGGCTCATGACTCTTGAACATGTTTTTTTTGGGGGGGGGGCAGTCTGCAATGCCTCACACTTGAGAATCATGGCAGTAGATGATGGGATGGAGTCAGGATTCAAGTTCCAGCCAAGGCACAGGTTTTTTGAGTGCCCTTGGTCATAGTACCACTTCACCCAGTTCAGACCATTATTGGGCCAGTGTGGACCAGTTGTGTGGTCAAGGATCTTTGCAACTCTCACCGAATTTCAAATTGAAAATTCAGCTCAAAACTGAATTAATTTTCCTCTTTTATATGTAGGGAAACATTTTCTAAGCACTATTGTGATTTAAGGATTCTGTGGGGGGGAATCGCTAGCATGTTGAATCGTGTTTAGTTTTCTTCACGTTTTGCTTGGCGAGGAATGCTGAAATTGGTTTGAACGAGGCTAACGCTATAAGTTAAAGATCTCCCTCCCTCTCTCTCTGCTATATATATAAAGCGTTATATAAATATAGTTTTAAAGGTAGCATATTTCTGTTTCGTTCCTCTGCCCCTTCCAGGCATTAGCCCGAGGAATCGATTCGATGTCACTTAGCTCATTTGAAATGTCACCTTTGGCATCGAAAAATTCCAAGGAACGAAGAAGCCGGAGAAGAAAGAAGAAATCCTCAGCGGGAGAAGAGGATGGGGAAGATCAGAAAGGTCCAAAATCTGAATCGGAGGATGGTCAGCAGAGGACGGTTAGTCTTTCTAGGGGTAAAACTAGGCCTTATTTCACCCAGGTCAAAGACCCAGTTTGGCACACACACACCCCACAGGCTGGGAGCCTCAATGGTGCCCCTCTGGAGGCTTCACCTGGGGCAAAGAAATCCTGGCTAGCCCCCTTCCCCCATAGCTACAGCTCTGAGTCTTTCCCCAAAGTGGCAATAAAGGGGAAACTCCTCTCGAACAAGAATCACTCATCCTGGAGATAGGAAAGATTTTCCCTCTGGGCTGGATCAGTTACGAGCGTTGCCAGCCTTTCTAGGCCTGTGAGCATGTTTGGATTTTTCAGCATGTGCCCTGGGTGCACCCACCTCTCTGGTCACTTCTCTGCCCCCCCCCCCCCCGGATCTGCTTACCTTAATCCTTGACCTCCAGGAGAAGAACTTTGTCACATACAGTATCAGGAATGGGAAAGACCATTGTCTGCCCGGGGCCCTGAACAGCTGCTTCCACCCACAGGAGACTGTACAGTGGTACTTCGGGTTAAGAACTTGATTCATTCTGGAGGTCTGTTCTTAACCTGAAACTGTTCTTAACCTGAAGCACCACTTTAGCTAATGGGGCCTCTCGCTGCTGCCGCGCCGCCACTGCACGATTTCTGTTCTCATCCTGAAGCAAAGTTCTTAACCCGAGGTAATATTTCTGGGTTAGCGGAGTCTGTAACCTGAAGTGTATGTAACGCAAGGTACCACTGTACTAGGTGAGATGGATTAGTGGTGTGATTCAGGATCAGGCCACGTTCCTGTGTTCATATCCACAGTCCCACAAGCTGAACCTGTGCGGTATAGATAGCGCTGTGAGACAAGCAGAAAAAAGAAGAAAAATAGCCATGCTCTGACGTGTCATAAAGACCACCGTACCAGCGAGTTTTAGAAACTCCCCTTGCTGCGCATCCATCTCTTTCCCCAGGTGTTCCAATTTTCTGAACTGGACAAATTAACAGAGGCAGTCTGTGTAACATATCCAGATTCTTGGCTGTTAGCGGAGTTAGCACTAAAATCGATCAGCACGCTGAAAGCCCTGCAAATGTTGGACATAAATTTGATAAATAAGCAAAACACGCACACGACTTTGAAAATGCACCCAGAACTACTGTTCTGTCTGTGATATATGAATGGGTTTTTTTTCCCCCACTGTGTTTATTTTTCGAGAGCCTTCATTCTTGTTGCTTAATTGAGTGGGTTGCCTCGCTAATTACAAGGTTGTTAAAGCCAAAGCGGCTGCGTGAGCTGCTCTGCACTGCTCTGAATGGGTTTTTGGCATGCTGAATGCAAAAAAGAGAGAGGAAAAAAGAGTCAGGCTGGACGTGAAACAAAGCAGCACGTTTCTCAGCATGTTCCTCCGACTGATGAGTCGTCTTTTTCATTCTGCATCCAGCAATTTGTCATCTAAGCAAAGAACACGACAAGGAGCAGGGCTGGGCTTACAGTGGGCATTTCCTTTGCGAAGGGGTGCTCAGCACCTTTTGAAAGGGGTGAGGACAAGTTGTCTTAGTGCAGATCAGTTCTGACCCACCCCCCGTTCCCCAGTTGTACTGGCAAAAGGAGTGGCTGTTTCATGGGAACCAGATTCAATGCCCCTTAGCCACCAGGAATATTCGCTTCTCCTTCTATGCCATCATTCTGTTTCATTCCTTCCCCCTCTTACTTCATTGCATCATGGGACCAGTTCATGCAGTTGTGTTGGCCACTAAATTTTCACCAAATATTCCATGCGTACAGTGGTACCTCGGGTTAAGTACTTAATTCGTTCCAGAGGTCCATACTTAACCTGAAACTGTTCTTAACCTGAAGCACCACTTTAGCTAATGGGGCCTCCTGCTGCTGCCGCGCCGCCAGAGCACGATTTCTGTTCTCATCCTGAAGCAAAGTTCTTAACCTGAAGCACTATTTCTGGGTTAGTGGAGTCTGTAACCTGAAGCGTATGTAACCCGAGGTACCACTGTATTATTTGCTATATTTAATTTTACTGTTTATTATATCCTAATGGATTATTGAACATTGCTGAAGCGTATGTAACCCGAGGTACCACTGTACCTGCAAATGTGGAAGTAAAACAGCGCCTGTTGCCTTAGAGAAGAGCTAAAGTTTCTCTGAGACAAGGCCTGTGGTTTTTATTTATTTTATTTTTTCCTCAACGCCCCCCCCCCCATTTCCCTACCCTGGGTATTCTTCAGTGCCCCCTTGTGTCAATTAGTCTTGGCTCCCAACAGGATGTTTTCAAACCTGATTACATGCAGAGGGTGGGGAGATGAGGGAAGCCCCCCCCCCATGTTCTACGTTTGACCTACTGGCTGGGAATCGCCCACCCTTTTGTTCTAAACCAGTGGTTCTCAACCTGTGTGTCCCCAGATGTTGTTGGACTACAACTCCCATCATTCCTAGCCAGCATGACCAGTGGTCAGGGATGATGGGAGTTGTGGTCCAACAACATCTGGGGACCCACAGGTTGAGAACCACTGTTCCAAACTATAGCGGTAGAATTAGACACCCTCTCTGACTCTATGTAAATGCGTAGTAACATTCGTTCCTTTCTACTCCACCCCTTGTATTTCTTTCCTTCCTCTGCCCTCTTTGGCTCCTTCAAGACTGTGCTGGGTTTTACTTCTGGGTCCATGGAAAACTCCGTGAAGCGCAAGGCCAGCCACGGGAGCGTCTTCAGCTTCCGGTTGCGCAGCAGGGACCTTGGCTCAGAGGCGGACTTCGCCGATGACGATATCAGCACCGTCGGGGAGAGCGAGAGCCAGCGTGGGTCCCTACTGGTCCCCAGGAGCGGGAGGCGGCTGAGCGTGCAGAGCCAAACCAGCCACAGCTCTCCAAACTACACGCAAAATGGCAAGAGGAACAGCTCGGTGGATTGCAACGGTGTGGTTTCACTGATTGGAGGAGGAGGAGGAGGAAGCACGGACCCAACGACTCCGACAGACGTGCTGTTGCCACCAGTTATTACGGAGAAACCTGGAACAGGTGACACGGTGGGTCTACTTATTATTGTATGTTGTGTTCAGATTTTCTTTGTCATCCAGTTGCTGTGTTGCAACTGCTTGTCACGCTGACAGCAAAAAACCCCAGGACGTTTCTGAAACCTTTGGTGGGACACCATCCATGGCTGCTAAGGTGTATTAGGCTTGATGGACCAAAATATGTCAACAATTAAGATGCAGTCCTGGGCAATGTGTTACTGCAGCTACTAGGGGTTGAAAGTGAGAATTCCAATGGCCTAGTATCCCCAAACACACATCTCTGTTGCAATGGGCCCTAGACTCTTGGAGTAGCATAAGCCAATATGGTGTTTTCCAGATGTTGTTGGACTCCATCAGCCCTAACTAGCATGGTCAGTAGTCAGGGATCATGGGAAATGTAGTTAGCCCAACAACAACATCTCAAGGGCGTCATATTGGCTGCCCTTGCCTTAGAGATATTTGTGAGCTTGGCTAGGATGACTTGGGGATTAGTGGCTGCCTATGCTAAAAAAAATTCTGAAGCTTACACTTGAAGTGGCACCTCTGAGGGCCAAGGATGCAACATCCAGTTAAAATAAAGTCCCTCTTAGCATCCTTTTATCCAGGGTACCTTCTGTCAGGAGCCCGTCCTACTCTGGAGTAGGACCCTGGTAGAGACACATGCCTGACTGGCATGTTCTCTCCCTCCTGGTCGATCGTTCAGGAGCTTCAAAAGCTTTCTTCAGCCTGAACATCACAGCAACTGATGCCAACAGACATCAGCACACTTAGGGATCCGCAGAGTTTGCGCAGAACTCAGTAGCTCAGCATTTGGCTAATCTACATTTATTTACATATAAAACCCTCGGAGCATTCTGACTTAGCTCCTTCCTCTTTCTCATCAGACAGCAAAAGAGAAAGAACAAAGGACAATAGTCCCACTTCACGGAACACAGTAACAAAACATCCTGTCTCCGTCGCTTCCCACTCTGTGGAGTCAAAACATACACCATCATGTGATAGACAACAATACCATGACTGCAATCATGGAGCAGGAATCTTAACACCTTCTGCTTGTCTTCCCTGGCGTTTCCTCTCTTACTTTGCTTTTGGTTCTGTTCCATCCTTCAGCTGATCTTTCCAAAGTTTAGCTTCCGAGCTCTGATCTTATAATGCATTGACTGGCTCTGCCCAGATTGATATTGAGTGTTCCAGGATTTATTTCTTCTCGGGGGCTAGGGCTGGGGCTGGCATTGAGAAAATTATTATCGCATGATTACTTATAAGTTCCATCAGGATTGTGAGCTACTTCTAGTTATTCCGTTGCGGTTGCTGTTATTTAAGAAAAACTTGGTGTTTATATAAACTTCATTGGAAGTGCATCAAAATTAAAGCGCTCGTGCTCTGTGTCTGTCAAGTTCCATATTGATTTATAGCACCCATGTCAGGCCTGGGACTTGGCTCTGTAGCAGGATGCAATGGATCCTTAGTCTGACGCAAGCAGGTGATGGCCAAATGGTCCAGAGGCAAGAGATGTGGTCAGGGTTGGCCTGGAGTTCATGTACTGGGCTAGGCAGACAGGAATCAAGAGCTGGAGTCAGGAGACATGGCCATGGGTGGACTGAGGTCAGATACCAGATCTAGCAGGAAGTCCCTGAATTTCTGTTGCTACTCAATGCAATGAATTATTGAGGAGTTGGCTTAGAAGGAGGTCTTACAAGCCTTGGTGGGCTCCATTGGCATGTTAGCTCAACAGGGATCAACTGATGGACCAGTACTGAAGCCTAGGGGCACCCGTAGCTCTCAGAGCCCAAGCTGACTGAGGGTCTAAGGCAGCCTTTCCCAACCTGGTGCCCTCCAGATTTCTCCCAACAGACCTAGTCACTATGGCCAAGGATCAGAGACTGAAGGAGTTGTATTCCCAAACATCTGCAAAAGGCTGGATTAGAGCCTGCTGGCAACTCCCTCTGTCTGTGAAGTTTGCTAACAACTTATGAGCCATCCTTTATTTATTTGTAAACTCATTAACACAGTTTCTGAACCATATCTGAAGAATGCAAGCAGCTTAGCGATGGCAATGACAGTTCTTCAGTTTGCTCATTTACTGCTGCTGTTCCTGAAAGCTGAGAGTGCTGCTCTCGACTCCCACTTCAGTCAGCAGGAGATGAGAACACTCAGCCTTCCCAAAGAGGTATATTGGTCTAAATCTTGCAGAAGCTGATGGGAAACTTCCTGCTACTTTTCACATCAGCCCTATCCATTCCAGACCTCGAAACTATTGCTTCTCCCCTGGTGCTACTTTCTGTAGCATCCCCCCCTTTTTTTTTTACAAATGTCTGTTGAAAATTGGAGTGGGCAGCCAGCAGAAAACACTCTTGGCACCACTGTGGTCGTCTAGGAAATTTCACCGGGGCACTATAGCAACAGATGCTCACTTTGGTGATGCAGAAGGAAGGGTGTTCTTGCTCCTACGAAGCACATTTGGAATCTAATCTATTGAGGCCGTGTGAAATGAGCTAAGAGCTGCAAGCTTGTGACTTTGTACAGTTACTCTTTTTGGAAAGATTCAAATAACCCTACTAAAAAAAGGAACACATGAGTGTGGTTCAGTGTTGTAGCAGTTGTGGTTGAATTGTTTTTAAGGACTTTCTTCCACACTGGGCGAGCCCTCCAGATGTTGTTTGATTACATTGTCTATCGAGGAGTAGTGAACATAGTGCTCTCCAGATGTTGTGGACTAGAACTCCCATCACCCTTTGCGATTGTCCCTGCTGGCTAAGGCTGATGGAATTCACAGCCTCATTTGCTAACCCTTGATCTTCATTCTACCCACATCAGTTTCATACTAGTTGAACCATCATGACTTTATATCAGTTGAACCGTCATGACGTTCTCCAAAGAATTCTGGGAATTGCAGTGTAGGTGCTAAGAATTCTCTGTTGGGGATCTCTCGAGCCCCCAGGGATCCCTGTAGAGGGCATTTTATTCATGTTGTTGTTTAGTCGTGTCCGACTCTTTGTGACCCCATGGACCAGAGCACGCCAGGCACTCCTGTCTTCCACTGCCTCCCGCAGTTTGGTCAAACTCATGCTGGTAGCTTCAAGAACACTGTCCAGCCATTTCGTCCTCTGTCGTCCCCTTCTCCTTGTGCCCTCCATCTTTCCCAACATCAGGGTCTTTTCCAGGGAGTCTTCTCTTCTCATGAGGTGGCCAAAGTATTGGAGCCTCAGCTTCAGGATCTGTCCTTCCAGTGCGCACTCAGGGCTGATTTCCTTCAGAATGGATAGGTTTGATCTTCTTGCAGTCCATGGGACTCTCAAGAGTCTCCTCCAGCACCATAATTCATAATTTTATTCATAGAATCATAGAAATGCAGAGTTGGAAGGGACCATGAGAGTCATCTAGTCCAACCCCATGCAATGCAGGAAACTTTCACCCAATATGGAGCTTGAACCCATGACCTTGCGATTAAGAGTCTCATGCTCTACTGACTGAGCTATCTTGAATATTTGGGAGCAACATTTTCACTACAAAGATTCTAGACTGCTGCGGCTTTTTTAGTGCTGGGAAGTGATTTCATAGACTTTTCTCGGGCGAAGTTGGATGATTGTCATCTTGGCATGAGTCTTGGCAAATTCTGTGATTAGATGATTAGAATAAGCTCCAGTTCTTGCTGGAAATGTTCTACTGCATGTAGAGCAGATACAACTGGAAGCATTGGATAGTTGCATGGGAGTGTTAAGAGAAGGGTAATTTCCAGCTGGGACTTAACAAGGACAGCCTTGGCACTTTTGCCGCCTGAAGCAAAACAATGCCACTAGCCTCACTCCCACAGCCGATCCTCTTATTTCTGCAGTGCGAAGGTGCTCCATTTTGTTCTGCTCTCTCGGCAAAGGAGGCCATGACTAGCCTAGAAGGGGAGAGAAGTCAAGCCAGGTGAAAGCTGAAAGGGAGTTCCCCAAGGGGGGGGGGTGTTTGCTCTATACCCAAGTCTCATCATTAGCTCCTGGGTGCTAAAGGAGCAATTGCTATTCACAATTCCCTGTATGATCGCTGTGTTGAGTTCCCTTCCACTTCCCTGTTGTGTGCAGCTATTGAAATATGTGCCATAACATCATTATATTGCGTGTTGCTCCGCCTTTGACTGATGGTTGCCAGTTTTGTGGACTGGAAGAGGGTATGGAGTTGCTGTTTCTCAGAGGCAGTCCTGCGAATTTTATCATGTCTAAACGGGGGGGGGGTGCAAAATATTTTTCTCTCCCCCTTTTGTCAATTTAATTTCATCATTAGATATTTCAGTTTTCTTATTTATTTGTTCCAGTCCAAAACTTTTTGGTACTTACCTTTTAATCTGTTATTTTGCTTTTATTCCTTGTGATAGCAGTAGCAGAGCTGATTTTAGCAGGAGATTCTGGCTGTGCCCATTTTATTTTTCTAGAATACTCTTGACGTTGGACTGTTCTGGAGCATTGTATTGTGTGTGCACCATGAGGCGAGGGGATAGCAGTTGTCACTAAAAACGCCACCCCTCCGCTGCCTGCTCCCATTCTATCCAGAAATGACCTAGAAAAAATAGAGTGTCCAGGGCATTCTTTCCCCAGAAAGCATGCTGGTAAGCTCTTCGTTCTTTCTGAAACCAGATTTGTAACCATAATGTCTAATTCCATTCTGAGATTTCATTTATGAAAGATTCAGCAGCTTGGATTCTAATGACATGCGCAATATATTCTTTGAAAGCTCATTCTGGATTCAGAACATTTGTTGGTTCTAATATGAGACATTATTTTCCTGACCCTGTGAAATTTGTTAAAATGGACCAACGGTACCTGATTTTAAGTCACACATGAAAGAAAGAAAGAAAGAAAGAAAGAAAGAAAGAAAGAAAGAAAGAAAGAAAGAGCTGTGGGATGGGGGACATTTTTCACATAACCCTGGATCAGTCCATGTCAGACCCCACCCCCTGAATTTGCTGAAAGGGTTAGCACAGTAGTTCTTCCCAATTCCTCTCTGCATCTACATGTGTTTGGGTGGCACTGAGCCTACCCCCTAGCTGTTCTGCCAGTTAAATGGTCAGCTTCCTTTTGTTACCCCAGGAGTATCACCTGCTCTGCCAGGAGCCTGTTCCTTTGTAAAATCAAAACTTGCCCATCACAGATTTGTTCCTACCACGGTCGCACCTGCTGGTATCTGTGTGTCATTTAAAAAACATTAACGGAGATCCAAACAAGGAAAAACAAAGCTTGCCAGCTTGTCTAAGTTGACAGATGAAAATGTTCAGCATGTGCGGCAGGAATGTCCATCGTCAAAGGCACACATGGAATGGAAGCAATGTAACTTACCTCGCTCACCCTCTTCGCTAATGACTTCCAGAGGGGTAGCCGTGTTGCTACAAAAGTTAAGCCCGTTGGTTTCAGTGGCTTGACTCTGTGACTAGCGTTGGGTCTCACCTAAAGAGTCTTGTAGAACCTTGAAGAAGAAAATATTTATTGTGGCTAAGTGTCTGTGGTCTGCAGCACGTCTCCTAATGGGTTGCTAAGGATACATAGTGGCTTGCCTAATGGGTATCCTCTTCTGAACAAGAGCCTTATAGTGTGAGACTTGGATGTTTTGCTTTCTTTGGGCATCTTCTGATTGGAATTGCATGCCCTCTGCTCGCAGAATATATTCTGGATGGCGTTGTCTTCTGTAGATAAGTAGTCTAGCCTTTGACCAGGAGATTGAACTTTTGGTTTTTCTTGCTCTGTAGCTAGGCAGGCTGTGTGTAAGACACCTGTGTGTATCAAACTACTGCTACAAATTGGAAGGATCCAGCATCTTTGCTTCTGCGCTGCCAGTGCTGTGAGTCAACAGCTAGTCTGGCAGATTGAGTGCTGCACTTCTGGGGTAGCACCTAGGTTGCAATATCAGTCCTGGCTCTGGAGGACAATTCCCCTTTTGGAGGTGCTATTTATGTCCCCCAATCTTGTTCCTCAGCTTGGGCAACTTGTCTCACTGGAGAGAACCTCACTTGGCCAATTCCCCTCTTCCTGTAGCGTTGCCCTTTTGAACCCAACCCCCTGGTTGCCTGCCTTGGATTCCACAACCCACCTCTGTCCCTTTGAACCTTTTAACGGCTGCCTTTGGCATGTCACCCCTTGCCCCCCCCCGGGGCAAGTCCTAACAGGAGCAGTTGAAAGCACTGGTCTGCTTAGCCTGGGGAACATAAATTTAGTGGGGGAGGTACATGATAGAGATCTTCAAAAATAAGAAGGGCTGTCATGAAGAAGATGGAGGAGACCTGTTCTCTTGTTGCTGTAGGGGGCAGGATTAGACAAATGAATGGACTGGATGGGTCATTGGCCGGATCCAGTAGACACTTCTTATGGTCTTGTGACTCCTCTTCCTTGTCACCCCCAAGAGCAAAGGAGGAAGGATCTCAGGCAAGAGCTTTAGGCAAAGTACCTGGCTAGGTGTATGTGCGTCAACTTGGGAGGAGAGGGAAACTCATGTGAACACTTGCCTGGATCAGGACCTGGATGAAAGCCTGGTAGAGGTGGGGTCTGCATGTCCTATAAAGCTCTCAGTCTACACAGAAACAAAGAAGTGCCAAGCTCCATCGCACGGCCTTTCCTGAACTGGGTAACAAACAAGTTGCCATTAGACGTTGCCGAAAGCAAATGCAGAGGGTGAAGTTTCAGAAGGACTTGAGGACAAGCATGAAGGGTTTTGATCCGGCTGGCAAAATGTCTCAGTGTTGGGGTGGTGCTTCATTTCTTTGCAGAGAGAACTCCCAGGTGATGACATTCTGGGATATAATCCTCCATGTTCGAGGCCAATAGTTCATTATGCTGCATCCCGAGTCTCATCAATTTCTGGTGCTTGTGTTGCATTAGGTCTGTCATTTACATTGCAGCCTGCTTAAGCAATCTTTAATGCTTTAAAAGCTCCCGATGTACATGGCAAATTAAAGCTTTGTCACTGATGGGCGAGCTTTACCTGGCTCACCTCATAATGACTTTGCTTTTTCTGAGCTTTCTTGGAAAATTCCCAGAAAATGTTCAGAGTCTTTCTGAGTTCTGGAAAACCAAGCTCAGAGGAGGTTGATCTTCCAGCTTCCCCTTCTAGTCTCTGCACAGTGGGCATTGTTAGACTCATCCTTAGGGCTTGGTGCTGCTTAACATGCTTATTATTATTATTATTATTATTATTATTATTCATACCCCGCCCTCCCCGGCCAGAGCTGGGCTCAGGGCGGCTAACAACAGTAAAATTACAGTAAAAACATAATAGGGGGGAAAACCCAATTTAAAATACAGGTTAAAATGCAATTTAAAATGCAGCCTTATTTTAAAAGTATCCCATAGATCAAAACCATAAGGGGAGGGAAAGATAAGGGTCAGACTGAGTCCAAACCAAAGGTCAGGCGGAACAGCTCTGTCTTGCAGGCCCTGCGGAAAGATGTCAAGTCCTGCAGGGCCCTAGTCTCTTGTGACAGAGCTTTCCACCAAGTCAGGGCCAGTACTGAAAAGGGCCTGGCCCTAGTTGAGACCAATCTAACCACCTTGCGACTTGGAACCTCCACGATGTTGTCATTTGTGGACCTTAAGGTCCTCTGCGGGGCATACCAGGAGAGGCGGTCCCTTAGGTACGTGGGTCCTAGGCCTTCCTAGATGTGTGGAAATGGTTGTTTCCCATGCCTACCTGTTTGGTGGATTGTGCCAGGAATGGTACTGTGTACCCTTGCAGCAAACGATGCTGTTGAAAAATCCCCCGGACATCCATGCCTAACTTTTATCAGTCCTCCCCAACACCACTCCCTGCTTTCGTAAGGGAGGGCTGGCCGGTAGCAGTGTTGAACCTATTTTTTTAAAAAAAATATTTTTTATTATTTTTAGCATACAATTTTTTTTAAGACATACCACACAAATTATTATACATATGTCCTTGTTTGGACTTCCTTCAGCATCTCTGATAGCCTTCCGTCTTGATTATTTCTCCTGCAATTCCTAACTTAATATTGCCTTTACCTTTTCTAACGAATCATTTCTCCCTTTCCATTTTTACAATATTTCTTAAATTACTCCTCACAGATTTTTTTGTAGTCCTACAAACGTAATCTGGTCATCACAAATACTTTTCAAATACTTAGTAAATTTAGTCCAGTCTTCGGTAAACCTCTGGTCCCACCGGTCTCGGATCCTTCCTGTTAGTTTGTCTAATTCTGCGTAGTCCATGAATTTCATCCTCCATTCTTCTAATGTTGGTAGTTCTTCTTGCTGCAATTTTTGGGCCAATAATATTCTTACTGCTGTTGCAGCAGCAGTGTTGAACCTATTATGGCTCAGACTTGAGCTTCAGAGGCTCATAATGCAGGTGAGGTCTACAAACTGCCACTCTTCTGAAATTTGCCGCCACCTCTAAGATGCACCAGGGCCCAAATAGCTTTAGAGTGCAGTCTCTCTCCTTGTTGCCGTACTTTCCAACCGCAAGCTCTCAAAAGACAGATGCACTTGATAGCGCCATGGATCTTCATTTACATGTAAATTGTAAAGCAATTTATTTGTCTCCATGGTATTAGACCAATTCAAGTGGGAAACGTTTTCAATCAGTCCAAATGGAGAGAGATGTGGTCCACTCACTCCCTGGTGTATTCCCCCTCCTCTAGCTTCTTCACACTTTTCCTGCCTAGGTTTTTAGTCAATCTGGAGGAGGCTAATAGATGAAGCAATGCACCTTTGGGCACATTTTCCTATGCCAGGAGGCAACAGAGCTGTCCCTTGGGATCTGTGGGCCTAGTTTAATTCCTAGGTCATGTTTCCTTCCTTGCTCTTCCTTCCTTAGATGTATATTACACACTCTATTCCCATCTGGCTTCTGGTCCATTTCCAAACAAAATTGGGAGTGCTGGTGTTTACCTTTAAAGGCCATAAACAGCTGAAAGACTAGGTTCTCTGGAGGAATGCCAGCTCCCATATCAACCAGACTTTGTGCTGAGGTCATATTCAGACCTTATTCTGCCAAGTGCCACCACTATCCAAAGTAAGGCAGGTGGCAACCAGGAAGACAGAGCCTTTTCAGTGGTGGCAGCACTCTTTGTGATTTCCCTCTCCAGGTAGGCCTGCCTGGCACCAGCATGGTTATCCTTTAGGCACCAGGCAAAAACTCTCCTTCCAGGCTTTATAAGGTACCTTAATGTATCTCCCCTCCCGCTATCAACATGTTGTTGTACACAACTGCAGCTTAAAAGGCTGGGTGAGCACTGTCTTCCTTAGAACTCATAGAATCGTACAGTTGGAAGAGACCGTACAACACCCTGAAGTGCAGGAATCTTTTTGCTCAAACTGAGGACTTGAACCCACAACCCTGAGATAGTGCGCACCCCAGAAATGATCTCTTTCAGCTTCTGCCTTCTGGTAGAAGCTACAGGGTTATAAAGACTAGGACTAGCCGCCTGAGAAACAGTATCTATGTAAATGCAATTTTGGTTTTAAACGCAGTGTAAGGAGTCTCTGTGAGAGTGTATTGTATTTTAAAAATGGGGTATCAGAGTTTTTAGGGGGCTAACCAGGTTGGGATAGCTGGGATAGCAGGCTTGTTGGTTTTGAATGTCTTATGTAGATTTATTTATTTTTTCAATTTCGTTGTTCTGTATGGAACAATGACAATAAAGATTATTGTATTATTGTAAGAGTCTCATGCTCTACCAACTGAGCTATCCCATATGATAATAGCACATAAAAAGCTAGTCTCCTCTAGTATATCAACCTCTGCTTCTTTTAGAAGAGCCAAAAATGGAAACCAACCGGCAATTTAATAAAACAATTGGGATTTACGTGTTGCTAACTGGGTGCATTTGTTGAAACAGACCACTCCATCTGAAGAAGTGAACAAGAAGCAGCTTCTGTCACCCCACCGCCTTTCTGTGGATCAATCTGAGGAACGTTTCCAAAGGCAACGAGCTGTGAGTGCTGTCAGCATCATTACCAGTGCCATGGAAGGTAAGACGTTAAGTCCAGCTGCTCTCTCTTAAGTACAGTCAGAGAATCTTGAGAGAATGGCAGGCTATGGTCCATCTAGCTCACTTGCTTCACACTGGATAGGACCTTTGATACGGGAGCATCTGCAAGAGGTGCCTGTGTAGCTTCCCCTGTAACTTTCCTTGGAACATTACTGAGATTGCCTTTTGAACTTCCTTCCCCAGACCAGTTCTAAGCCTTTCCCTTCCACACTCCCAAATTTGAAGGCATCCTCCTACTTCTCTCAATTCCATGGAAAACTGGGATCTAGCTTTGGTTACTTGGCAGTGCAGTCCTAGACCTGCCTTCTCATAAGTCAGTGGGTTCACAGCCTGGGTGTGAGCATTTATTCGTTTTCATTCATTTATTATATTTCTATGCCACTTTTAGCTCACACGAGTCACAAAGCAGCTTACATGCAATAAATAATAACAAAGTGGAACATCACAATTACAACATAAATCATATAGAATAATTAACAAATAATCCGTAAAACAACCACCTTCTATAAAACAGAACAGTTTAAAAACAGGCTAAACAGCACAACCAAAAGAAGAGTCGTGTTATGAAATTCACAAAGCATTAAAGCACTCGTAATCTGCAAAACAATATTAACAACATTGACATACTACCGTATTTTTCGCTCTATAGGACGCACCCAACCCTAGGACGCACCTAGTTTTAGAGGGGGAGAACAAGTAAAAAAAATTCTCTCCCTCTCTGCGCAGCGCCCCATCAGTGAAGCGGCAGGAGAAATGGAGCCCCTTCCATTTCTCCTCTCACTTCGCTGAAGGGGCGCTGCGCAGAGAGGGAAAGCTGCGCAGCGCCTCTCCAGCGAAGCGAAGCCAGGAGAGCAAGAGGGATCGGTGCGCACCGATCCCTCTTGCTCTCCTGGCTTCAGCAAATGCAACGCAAAGCCTCCGGAGCGCGGGGGGAGCGCTCCTGCTGCGCTTCAGAGGCTTTGTGTTGCTTTCCCTAAAGCCATGGAGCCTGGACACACACACATTTCCCCTTATTTATTTTTTTTAAATAATATTTATTAATTTTCAACAATTTAAACACAACACTACAAAAAACAAAACAAAACACACAATACAACAATACAATACCATACAAAAAACACTACACAACACTAACACAAACAATTAACAAAACAAAACAAAAACCATTCAAAACACAATCCAATTTCAATATCTTATCTTTCCTTCACTTGTTTCCACGATCTCCTCACACCTCCCTTTTTGTCTTCCACTTCTATTAATTGTTTCAGCAATTCCTCTCCATCTTCCTCTGTTTTCTATCCTATAATTATCTTAACACATCATCCTTAGCTAGTAAGGCCGGTGGTCAGGAATGATGGGAATTGTCCTCCAAAAACAGCTGGAGAACCAGGTTTGGGAAACCCTGATTTAGAGCTTAATGGTTGTCCAACCCATTTTGGCCAAAAGTCTTCCTTGTGGAGGCAAAATGTCTTCAAAAATATATTTCTTAAGCCAATAGGTTTAATTTAGGTATCGGACGATCCTTCCTTTCCTCTTCCATTTTATTTTAAATATTGTTTATTGATTCCTTCTGTCTGCATTTCCTGCCTACATCTCCTGCCCAACTTTGGGTGCAAGGATTTGCCCTCAGAATTCCTCCTCCAAGGTTTGCTTTTCTGTATATGTTGCTAATAGATGTGCTGTGCTATCAGCACTGCATGAACGCTGCTAATTATGAATGTATGAAGGAAAGAAGCTTTGCACACCCACACAAAAATCTCCAAAATGGAATCTGGCTAAATGTCTGACATTTCTGCTATTATTTGGAAGTTCTTGTCTGAGGCTGGTGTGTGTGGTGTGCGTTTTATAGTGGACTGTATCAGTTCAAACACCATGTGGGGAATAAAACATTTATTTATCTTCTTAACATTTACATCCCGCCTTTTACCCACAGAAAACAAACATATAAAAAAATATGGCACAGAGAAATGTTCTCATCCAGCAGTTTGCCTGCTCTGTTGGCTTTCTATTTGCAAGATTTTGGGGTTTGGTTTTAATTTGGGAGCTTATTTAAAATTGTGACTGTCTCAGTCACTATATTCAGGAATGATGCAATGCATTGCCACCTTAGTGTTTTGCTACATATGCTGGATCAGGCCTGAGAAGAAGATGCTATGGTTTGGGGTTGGGAGATTTTTATCTAAACAATCCAGTGATTCCTGACCTTGCTCTGCTAGAGAGAGAGAGAGAGAGAAAGAGAGAGAGAGAGAGATCTTGTTAAATTCTGTATCAACCACAAAGAAATGTAAGATGGCAGTGGCCCAAGCATTTCTGCATGGGTCACCTTTAACAAAGGCTGTCATGACTGCCATGGCTTTCAGAAACTAAAGCTAGTAAGGAACAGACATATAGCTGACGCGGTTATTTGCCATGTCACACTGTGGTGCCAAAGTTGGCCAAGCGGCAGGAAGCAAGGTCATTTGGACAAGGTTGAATTCCGCTTTCGTTTACAGCAACCAATAGTGGAATGCAGGAAACTGCCGTTGTGCATGTCAGACTGTTTGACCATCTCCTTTGACTGGCAGCGCCTCTTTAGGGTTCTTGGCAGAGGTGTCTGGCTTCACCTGCCGGCTGGTCTGCTCACTTAGATGCGTCAGGGTTGAAGCTGGACCTTCTACTTCCAACACATGTGCTCTGCAACTGAGCTATGGCTCTTCTCACTGTATTATATGTCTGTGGTGTTGCAGATAGATAGATAGATAGATAGATAGATAGATAGATAGACAGACAGACTCCAAATGGGTGGGGTATTATTATTATTATTATTATTATTATTATTATTATTATTATTATTATATAGTATCATGGGAATTGGGGTTGCTTATGTGTAACTTCCACCTGCTCCAAACTGCGTGAGGCGGTTGCGTTTTCCCCGGCTGAGCAGCCCGCCTTGGGCACGACTGCTCCAGTCGCTGGCAGAATCCGTCAGTGGGCGTTTCCTAAACTTCTTCCAACATAAAAATTCCTTAACGGACAGCCTCCTTCTCGCCTCTCTGCGCGGCAGCCTTCTGCGCAGAGTAGGCGTGCCTATCAGTGGTCCTCCACTCTCCTCACTGACCTCACTTGAAGAGTCTCGGAGCCTCCCCTCCGAAGTGCTCTCCAACCCTCCTTTCTTCCTGGTGTCACCTGATTTTCCTTCCCCCGCGGGAGCCCTCTCTCCTCCTGTACTGGTTCCTTCTCCGGCATCATTGGAGAGCCTCGCCTCTCTATTTTGCTCCGATGTCAGTTCCCTGACATATAGATTAGCATATATGCGACTGATCTTGCATGTCTGCTTCAAAAAACTATATTTGCTGTCTTTCTTTGGCTAACGCCATCAGCAATTCATGTCTACTGCAAAGAATGAGGTCATAGAATTGTAGAGTTGGAAGGGACAACAAGGATCAGCTAGTCCAAGCATAGGCAAACTCCGGCCCTAACAGGACCAGTGGTCAGGGATGATGGGAATTGTAGTCCCAAACATCTGGAGGGCCGAAGTTTGCCTATGCCTGAGCTAGTCCAGCCCCCTACAATGCAGGAATATGCAACTGGCCCATCTGGGGATCAAACCTGCAACCTTAGTGTTATCAGCACCATGCTCTAACCAACTAAGCTATCCAGGCTCCAGTCCAGATACTGCCACAATTTTAGCCCTCTTTCTTGCCAATGGATGCTTTGGGGTGGTTTTGCCTCCATTCTATTGAATTGCAGAGCAAGTGGCAGGCTTTTGAATGTCATTTATGTGGTATGATTCTGCAGAGAGTTATTATAGTCTCTGTTTACTGTATTTTCGGCAATGTGTTGGTTCTAAGGTTCTTTGTAAATATGGGTGTGTTTTTTAAGTATGCTTCTGTTGTAATCTGCCAAGTGTTCTATATCGAAAGCAGGGCAGAAACGAAGGCATTTAATGAATAAATGAATCAAGCATGTGCTCTGCCACTTGCTGTGGAACTTAGTAGACAATATATTATTATATATAATAATATTTGCATGTTGGCGGCAGTGGCAATAGCAATAGCAGATGATCGAAAGGAAGAAACGCACCTGAAGGTGTAAGTTGTCCTTTTGAAGAAATATAACTGGGTTTAAATCAGAGGTGGAGGGCCTTTGTATGCCTGGTGGCTGCATTCCATTTTGAGCAACCTTCTGGGGGGCACTTGCCAGTGGTGGATAGGGCCGGAAGCAATTGTGAGCAGAGCAACAGACATAACTCCTACTTTGACTTATGTAGGCTGCGTTGCAGCCATGCAGAATTCAGAGGAGGAGTTTGGATTTGGATTTGATATCCCGCTTTATCACTACCTGAAGGAGTCTCAAAGCGGCTAACATTCTCCTTTCCCTTCCTCCCCCACAACAAACACTCTGTGAGGAGAGTGGGGCTGTGAGACTTCAGAGAAGTGTGACTAGCCCAAGGTCACCCAGCAGCTGCATGTGGAGGAGCGGGGAAGCGAACCCGGTTCACCAGATTACGAGTCTATCGCTCTTAGCCACTACACCACACTGGCTCCTGCCACACCTACAGCCACATCCCCACAATTCAGGGACATAGTATTCCAACCGGGCAAAAAAGCACTTGTAGGAGATGCAGAGCAATGGCAGTTTGGAGGATGTGGCCTTGGGAGAAGGTGTAGTTGGATGAAGAGGCTCAATGGAATGTGTCGGTTTCCTTGCTTGCCTGCCATTCCCTGACCCCTGCATTGTGTGCCTTGCTCCTTCTCACTTAGAGCTTGAGGAATCCCAACAGAAGTGTCCCCCCTGCTGGAATCATTTTGCCGTCCGCTTTCTCATTTGGGAGTGTTGCCCGCTGTGGCTGCTGATCAAGAAGAAAGTGAGGTTCATCATCATGGACCCGTTCAGTGACCTCACCATCACCCTTTGCATTGTGATGAACACTCTTTTCATGGCCATGGATCACTACAAGATGACGGAGGAATTTGAGAACGTGCTCAACATCGGTAATCTGGTAAGAAGATTCTTCTCAACATGGATGCAGTGCATTCAGGCAGGGAGAACCGGAATGACAAGGGCCTGTCCAGCCTAGCAGCCTGCTTCCAATAGTGTAGGCATAGGCAACCTTTGGCCCTCCAGATGTTTTGGCCTACAACTCCCATGATCCCTAGCTAACAGGACTAGTGGTCAGGGATGATGGGAATTGTAGGCCAAAACATCTGGAGGGCCAAAGGTTGCCTATGCCTGCAATAGTGGTTGGCCAGTTGCCTGCAGGTGCTCATCACTTACGCGGTGGAATCTTGAAGTTCCTTTTAGCTAGCATGTCTAATGACCATATGGCATCCAATCTTCTGCAAATTCTTTACTTACTTCACCAAACCATTTTTAGGCATTGCAAATATAGGCCATAAAAACAACACCCATATATGAAATTTTAAAATATGTACAAATAAGCAGCTATGTAAAAATATGTAATAATGAGGATTTTCATTGTAGTTTTTCCCCACTAAAAAGTGCCATTCAGCACTCTTAAGAAATACCATTGATAAAAACTATTTTGTTAAAACCCTCTAAGACTTAGTCCACCCTTGCAGCGAAATAAAGTGGCAGGATCTTGAGGTGCTAGACTAGACTGGACTGCTTTTAGCTGCAGGTGGCATTATGGCTGGGATGCCATTGTGGAATGCAGCAGGGGATAGATCATGTCTCATTGATATGCAACATACGTTCTTTCCAGAAGGTCTCAAATTTCAGCCGTGCATCCCTGAACCGAACCCTTTCTACTCCCACTTCACGCTTCTGCATGTGTGGAGTGAGCCCAGAAGGGACCCAGTTACTCTCATAGAATTGAAGAGTTGGTGTGTGCCAGGAGGGTTATCTATACAATGCAGGAACCTTTTGCCCAACATGGGGCTCACACCCTTGCCCCTGAGATTAAGAGGTCATGATTCAAACAGCTCAGGTGTTTGCAGGGCCATCTTAAGCATATCTGGCGCTGTGGTGCAAAGATCCCTCTGGCACCTCCCTCCCAGCAACTCCAAAACAAGGGAAGGGGCAGTGGAAAATGTCCTCTGCCTCCCCCACTGCCCCGATCCCTGGTGTGGTGGTGGCGATCAAGCAGGAAAACGTGCTGGCGGACATGCTCTTCCATCTAATAATAATAATAATAATAATAATAATAATAATAATAATTATTATTATTTGTACCCCACCCATCTGGCTGGGTTTCCCCAGCCACTCTTGGCAGCTTCCACAGAGACCAAAAATGCACTAAAATGTCACGCATTAAAAACTTCCCTGAACAGGACTGCCTTAAGATGTCTTCTGAATGTCAGGTAGTTGTTTATCGCTTTGACATCTGATGGGAGGGCGTTCCACAGGGCGGGCACCACTACCGAGAAGGCCTAGGTTTCTGCGGGGATCACTCTCATCCTGTGGAGGCTTGGGAAGGAAGCTGCTCCCCCGCCAGCCATATAGTTGGCGGGGTGCAACCGGTGGGCGTGCAGGGAAAGGGGAGGCTGCTGGCAAAGTCGCACAGCTCCCCCACTCGCTAGGGCGCCCCTGAGAGGCCGGCGCCCTGGCGCAGTGAACCACTAACACCAATGGGGAAGACGGCTCTGGGTGTTTGTCTAAAACTGTAAAGTTTCTATCGCCCTGCGGCAGGTGGGAAAGGCAGTTTTGGGAGGAAAGCACCCCTCTTCCTCCAGCTGTGCTCTCATAATTGCAGGGAGCCACCTGTGACAGGAGAAGCCTGCTTACAGCTTAGCATTCTGTTCCTTTCCACAGGTCTTCACTGGGATTTTTACGGCTGAAATGGTCTTCAAACTCATAGCTCTGGATCCCTATTACTACTTTCAGCAGGGCTGGAATATTTTTGACAGTATAATTGTCACGCTAAGCCTGATGGAACTAAGTCTTTCCAGCATGGGAAATGTGTCTGTGTTACGCTCCTTCAGACTGGTAAAGTATTACGTCTGCTTGTCTGTCTGTCTGTCTGCCTCTCTCTGTCTTGCACACCCATTGCAACACCTTTTACCAGTTTTTAGAGGGAATTAGTTTAATCACACAACTCTTTCACCTGAAAACTGCAGCTCTGTCATGCATTATTTAAAAAATGACTTCTTGTTTCTCTTTTTCATAATAAGACCATTTGAAAGTAACAATTTTCAGAATAAAGGGTAACCTGCTATGGCTAAGCTGAAACGGCTTACTTTTGTTTGGTGTCTATGTTCATATATACTGCGCCATGCCTTCCTTTGGAGGCTATTTTTTACGCTTTTCCGAGGAGCATATTCATATTGCTTTGATGTGCTTATTCTCAGCGCTATTTTTCCATTTTCCTACATGGCACTTGCAGTCTTTGCCCTCAGTTGTCCACACTGACATGTCACCCAGTTGGCCTTCGTTGGTGACCCACATAGCTTTGCCGGTGTCACACAACACCGGTGTGATGAAAAACAAGAACCTCCACGGCCGGACCTTGTTTGTGGGCAAATGATGCCAGGGTTTCTGAAGGCATAGAAGAAGATGGATAATAGCACCGAAAAGCAGCAGCACCCATAGGGCAAGAGGGTGCTGAAATATACCTAAAATGTACTTGGCAAGATTAATAATTTATTTGTCTGTTTGCTTTTTTCCAAAGCAAATATCAACACTGCGGAGAATAGTTGGGACAGTTATGAAAGAGCCAGTAGTTTTTACTATTTGCTATAAATATGCTGGGGTCAGGCCATGACATATAAATAGCTAAGATTATGGGCCCCTGTTAGTTTGCTCTGCTTCTTGGAATCCTCTCTCTTGCCCAAACACATATATCCTCTTCTGTAACAGAAGATGCTCTAGGACAGGCATAGGCAAACTCCGGCCCTTCAGATGTTTGGGACTACAATTCCCATCATCCCTGACCACGGGTCCTGTTAGCTAGGGATGATGGGAATTGTGGTCCCAAACATCTGGAGGGCCGGAGTTTGCCTATGCCTGCTCTAGGACTAATTGGGTAAGGGGAGGGGGGTGTTTTTACCTGTTCTATTCTACTCTCTAAAAACCTTCCATCACAACGAAATCAACCCAACTGGTGCAGCAAAAGTAGTCAGGCAGCCCATTGTATCCCTTTTGTGAAGTAACCCATTGGGTTCTCTGCTCTGTACTGGGTGTTAGGAACATCAGAAGCTGCCTTATTAGAGAATTAGAACATTGAGCCATATAGGTCAATATTGTCTACATTAACTGGCATCAACTCTCCAGGGAATGAACCTGGGATCTTTTGCAGGCAAAGTGTATCCTCTGCTGCTGAGCTGCAGCAAAAGTGTTTCAGCCTGGATCCCAACCCAGTGGGTTTCTAGTCAAATCTCCTTGTGTGGTTTGCCATTTTGAAAGCATCCTCCTGTGTTTTTTCTTGTCCAGACGCAGAATTGTCTTGTGTGTTCGTTTATCTGCCAGCTCTCAGTTGTTGGGTTGTGTTTTTTTGGTTTACAGCTGAGGGTCTTCAAGCTCGCGAAGTCTTGGCCGACCTTAAACACTCTCATTAAAATCATCGGGAACTCTGTGGGCGCTCTGGGGAACCTCACTCTCGTTCTCGCCATCATCGTCTTCATTTTCGCCGTGGTTGGCATGCAGCTCTTTGGGGACCTGTACTACAAGCACGTCACAAGAATCAGCACCACGGATCGGTTGCCCCGCTGGCACATGAACGACTTCTTCCATTCCTTCCTCATCATCTTCCGCATCCTCTGTGGCGAATGGATCGAGACCATGTGGGACTGTATGAAAGTGGCCGGGCAGCCTCTGTGTCTTCTGGTCTTTTTACTGGTCATGGTGATTGGCAACCTGGTGGTAAGTACGACAAGGCATTTTCTTCTTTTGGAAAGAGTTTCTCTGCCGCTATGCCATGCCTCCCCACTCACAGCAGCCGCTGGTTTTCAGGGTCTCCAGGACATCGTGGCTTTTGATCCTGGAACCTAGGCTAGAAGGTGTCCTCCACATGTGTTACTCCTCTTGCAGATTCATTGTGTGTATCGCAAGAAAACCTATCGGAGAAGCTCACAAACATGAACTCCTCCAGTTGACTGTGTGCAAAGTTGATCAGAACAAAACTCAGCCTTGCTCATAGCCTGTCAGAAGCAAACAGATTGGAGTTGTGTTTGCAAAGACTCTTGAGTAGCCTCCATTGCTGCTGCCTCCTTCCTTACCCTTCCTCAGGGAACACACCTCAGGCGGGGAAAGGCAGAGGCGATAGCAGTGGACACAGAAAACGCTCTGTGCACCGGGACGCTGAGACAGAAGCCCTCAGGGGCCTCTTTTCAGTATCCTCAACGTGCAGCACAGGAGCTTGTCTTGGCAGCAACTGGAAGGCTACAGTCATGTTCTAGTTTCAGAGGGTGGTAGTGCATCTCTTGTGTTGCCTTGTCATGTGGTGGTATGTCAGGGAGGTCCATAGATCTCCTTTCAGGTACCATGGTTCAAAGGCTTGTGCTCTTGAATTGGTCACTCTGTGTTGTATGCCTGAGACTGAGACATAGCATTCGCCTATGTGTGTGTTATAGCTCCTGCTCTGGAGATTTTTGTCCATAGTCTTTGCCCAAAACTTGGAACGCCAACCTTCATACACACATGCAACCACATGGAAACAGCTTCATCGGAATGGTATCTCATGCAGTCTCTCTCTCTCTCTCTCTCTGTGTGTGTGTGTGTGTGTGTGTGAGAGAGAGAGAGAGAGAGAGAGAGAGAGAGAGAGAGAGAGATGGGACCATGTGGGCTGCCGCCCAAGTTTCTCATGCAATTGTACCCATGCACATCGTTGCAGAATTCACACACTCACCTACCCCACAGCCATGTAGGGTAGCGCAAAAGAGAAGCAGCTCACATGTAATTGTATGTTTGAGAAGGAGACCTTACAATCCTCTATACTGGCACCCTCCAGATGTTGTTGGAATTCAACTCCCATCAGCCCCTGCCAGCATGGCCAGTGGCCAGGGATAATGGGAGTTGTAGTCCAAAAACTTGGAAGGCACCCAAATGGCAATCCTTGCTTACCCGGCCTTTAAATGTATTGCTCTATTGAGATCTATAAGCTGGTTGTGTTTCTACAAAGCTCTCCTACTACCTAGCCAGGCCTCAGTAGAATACTTCCAGTATAGAATAACTTCATATTGGCTTGAATTTAAATATGGGTGATCATCTAGGTGTTAACATTTGTAGCTGGAAAAGCATGTCAGCGATTCCTAAGCCTTTGGCATTAACTCATACTTCCTGAAATGTATTCTGGCACATTGCAGTACTGTGGCGAGGCTGCCAGTTTCCCATCAGGTTGTGTTAGTCATCCCTGTGGAATTGAATATCTTGACCACGGCCACCAAATTAGGGTCTGCATAGCTCTCTTTAGTGCCGTTATGATGCACAACTGTAATCTCGTTGCATTTGGAGTGTCATTGACAAATGCCGTCAAGGGTCTGATAGAATCAGGGAATGGGTGGATGGAGCCCCACACACTCGCGCCGAAACGGTTTCGGGACTATCCACCCTTGCATAATGATGTTTACAGTTAGATCTTGCAAAATGGCTTGGCGCATTTCAGATGGAAATGAAGGTCACGGGGTTAATACTGCAAACTGTGGCTTGGCAAGTTATTAAGGAACGATGGAGTGTCTCGTTAACGGCACTCTGTCAGGAGTCCCGGCGATTGCCAGCAAAATGTAATTGTACCCTTGTTGCATCATGTGAGGTGACACCAAGGAAGCATGTGATGCCACCTGTCACTCAGAGGGGAGTTTTGTGGTGTGATTTTGAAAATTCTTAACATGCTTGCTTGGCAGTACAAATCTTGCTGCCAAGAGGGAGGGAGAGAAATACATTAGGAGCTCTGACCTCTAAACAGCTATGCTGAAATTTCGACCCTGAGATGCAGGGCTTGTGACTGCATTGCTCACTTTAGTTCTGAACAAGACAGTAGATGAATCAGGTCACCTGATACATTTATCACGAGAGAGAGCCTGGAATTTTCTCTGCCACCACTGAAGAGATATTCACGCGGTTCCATACCTTACTGGAAGGTCAGATCCCGAAGGCATCCCAGCCAAGTGGCCAAGAGTGCCCCTTACAGAAAAGCCACACAAGAGCAACCAGCAGCTAGCTATCCATGTTATCTGGTGATATCATCAGAATAAAATATCTGGATGCTGTGTCAGTGAATGGTCCCAGGGGTCTTGAGCCAAGGACTTCAGAAATAAAGCCCAGGCACTGTTGTCATGGCAGGAAAGGGAGCTGCCAGCCTGGTCTCCGCTATTCATCAGGACTGTTGATGACCAAGAGGTGGTATTGCTGGCATCAGCTCAACAGGTGTCAGGTGACTCAGTGGACCTATAGGGTTCCATCTTGTCTTATAACCCTGCTGATCTTAGTTCTTCAGTCTTCTTGTTCACCTGGGCCTGTTTCATCACCACCCTGCTTTCCAGACAGATCACCACCTCCGTCTCTTGAAATATGGAGCAAGCATTTCCAGGCCTCTTAAAGGCGCAACATGTTTTTAGTTTGTGATGGCTGAATGGTACTCTGCTTCATAAGCTCAAGAGTTCAGAGATGTCGAGGGCTGAGCATCTAGATCTGGCAAAGATGAGCACAAGAAATAGAAGAACAAGCCTGGGAAAGCGTAGATTAGCTGAACTTGCCAGGCACTTTTTAGCTCAGAGAGCTATAGAGGACAGTGCAACCATTTATGCGGACTGTGGTTTGTTAAAGTAGCAGGCCTCAGTCTTAAATCTGAGAGATGGGTTTCCTCCTCTGCCTAAATCGCCATATGGGTTCATTAGTGCTAGTGGGACAGGGGCACCCATAGACCCTGATTTAAATGCTGGGAGCCACTCCAAACCATTTCTTTTAGCTGGGGGATAAGGACCATTCACTTGTGTGTGTGTGTGTGCGCACTCCATGTTAGGAAGCTTGTGGAATGTGTTCAGAATTCTAGATTATGCTCATGGCATATAAATTGGAACAACTTACTGGTCATTTGCAGAGAGCTCCCACCACAAGCAGACATGAAAGGAAAACAGGGAACAACAGTTCAGGGAGAGCTGGAGCACAATGGAACAAATCTCTCAGCAAAGCCAGTGGAGGAGGCACTCAATGGAGGTTGATTCTTTAGGGCGAACGAAGCAGTGCCCAAGCAACTTCAGTCTGTCCTCAGCCAGCCCCCTACCTGCCTAGCATCTTACTTGCAACAAGTTTAGGAGGCTGTCCTGTATAGCAGCTTCCTCCTCCTTAATCTCTGTACAGCTCTGCAGGGAGGAAGATGGGGACAAAGCTAGAATTTGTTGACTCTTGCCTGTCACTGGTCCTGTTGTTGGTCTCCCTGGCTTCTGCCCTGCCAGTGCCCAGTGGCACTGGATAACAGTACGTCCTTTTCTCTCCCTGCAGCAGCCTGACGAAATGTCTGCTGTCAGGTGGCAGCTGAGGAAGGAAAGGCCCAGTAGAATTGGTCTTTTAGCTGATAGAGTGGTCTGGCCTGCTTACCCTCTGCTGAAGCCTGACAAAATTCCTGCTGGCAGGTGACAGTTAATGTGAAAATAACCAAGGGTCCAGCAGTTACATTTTTTACATTTATTGTAGTTAAGAGACACTCTTTTATCAGGGGCTAGGAGATGCTTCTAAAATTCTCCGCATTGGAATTTCTACCCAGATATTGGGATTCCCACGTTAGCTGGTCTTCTTTTTTTAGGGGAAGCAATGCACTCCAAGGTTCCAGTTTTAATTTCTGAATTTCATACACACAACTGTGCATAAGCAGTTTGCTGAAGCTTTCAGTTCATTCATATCTGCTTCCATGTCTCTTCTCATGCCCCCTTCTTTATTGGGGTTCCTGCGCACCATGATAACTCCGCAAACAACAACAACAAACTCCTCTAAATAAGGTTGCTGTACTTACGGCTGCATTAAGATTCTTGTTGTGCTGTGTTTTATCAATGCCCAGGAGCGGACGTACACATAAATAGGGCACAAAAAGAATTCTGATGGAGTCATGTGTACAGCTCACTGATTATGTGATCCTACTCCCCTAGACCTACGTGGGGCCAGATAGGATGTTATCCAAACTCAGCAAATACTGTAAAGAGGAGCAATTAACCACAAACTGTTTGAAAACCAAAGTGCTGGTCTTTGGAAAGAAGCCTCTCAAATTTCACGAGTCAGTAGATAAATCATGCAATTGATCAATGTCAGGTCTTCAAATACCTCACGGTATTTTTCAGTGAGGCCCTTTCTTGGAAGGCTCATACAGAGAAAACTAAAACTTTCACCATGCTAAGGCTGAAATTCTGCACACAGTGGACTAGAAATAAGTCCCTTTTAATTTGACAGGATTGACTTACTGTTCTTTTTTAATATTATTATTATTATTATTATTATTATTATTATTATTATTATTCTCTGCCTTTCCCTGCCAGGGACTCAAGGCCACTTACATATAAAATAGGAATAGCTAAAGACACAGAAGAAAATAATAATTAAAACATTAATAGAATATTGACACTAATAATAATAATAATAATAATAATAATAATTCTACTACACCCAACTGGCTGTGTTTCCCCACTATGGGCAGCTTTCAACAGAACATTAAAACCAGAATAAAATTTCAAACATTAAAAACTTCCCTAAGCAGGGCTGCATCCAGATGTCTTCTAAAAGTCAACAACAACAAAAACAGCATGGCACCAGCCCCCTCATTAAAAGCAGCCAATTCCAAAACCCTGCTAGAACAGGAAAGTATTTGCCTGCTGGCAGAAAGGACAAGTCTAGATTCTCTAGGAAGGGAGTTCTAAAGTCTGGGAGCAACAACCGAG